GCTGTAAATCAGGAGCAAAAACAAAGTTGCTGGAAAAGCTCAGCAAGTCTGGCAGCATCTGTGAAGGAGAAAACAGAGTTAACGTTTCGGGTCCGGTGACCCTTCCTCAGAACTGAGGAAGTAGGACAGTTCTGAGGAAGGGTCACCGGACCCAAAAAGTTAACTCTGATTTTGTTCTTCACAGATGCTGCCAAACCTGCTGAGCTTTTCCAGCAACTTCTGTTTTTATTCCTGATTTACAGCATCCGCAGTTCTTTTGGTTTTTATCTAGAATATCCTTTCGTGGAATCCAGCATATAAGAGCAAGGACAGTATGTTATAATTGCATAAGTATTAGATTGCAGCTAGAGTCCTAATCCTCTCATTCCTGGAGGGATATGATTGCAGAAGAGTCTTACAATGATGTTGCCAGGAATAGAGATTTTTAGCTATGAGGGAAGATTATTCTTCTGTTTATGTCAGCCTTTATTGTCAGGGCTTTCTCACCTCTCTTTTATTTGCCATTTTGCCTCTTTTGCAAAAGTTAAGTAACCTGGAATATTTACTTCCTAACATTGGTCACTCTGCAATCACATCTCAGCAATATTTAAACTCATTTATCACTCTTAGTGCCATTTTTAGGCATAGACCCTTTTGTTTTCCCCTACCATTATTTTCCCTGATGTGGCCTTGGTCATTATTGCCCCACTAGTATTATAAAATTCTACATGATCCTGACACCATCTGTTTAGGTTTCAGCTAATTTACTGCCCTTCTGTGGTCTTGACTTTTCTGTTCAGGCTTTGAAATTTACCCTCCTCTGAACCTTCCCTCACCTCTATTAAATAGAAGCCCAATCGATATCTGATTTACGAACACAGTGGAGCCTGACCCAAAAGATCTGGTCTCTCCTTCCATTGTTGTTGTACTAGTGGCTTATTTATCAAAGCCTTTTCCTCCTGTACCAATCTTTCATCCACACATTTAAACTCGTGTGTCTGCATTCTCATTTCTGTGAATCACAGACAATAATTGAATGATTATTACATTTGAAATTTTGCTTTATACTTTGCACACCAGTCCCTGTACTACCTAAGTCATTTAGTTTCTAGGTGGACCACAGCAGTTGGTTCCTCCTATTGCTCTAAGTTCTTTTTCAGCTACAAGAAGGTGTCCTTAACCCTGCACGTGAGAGAGCTTCAAAACTCTCGGTCTCAGGTTCAGGAAACATTATCTTCTGGCTAAACCATCTCTAACCACTATCAGATACCTTTTCACTGTACCTAATTGAATGACCTTGTTTTGTCAAAAAGCCATAATTAGTCTGCCCATCCTCCGTGAAATCTTTGCTTCATACAAAGCAATACCTCATACCTTGTTCCTGTTGGACAATGATGAAGGCTGAACCTCCTCCACCACTGCATCTGTGCTCCCTTTGCCTACCTAAATCAATCATGCTGTCCCTGACCATTAACCAAATGTAAATTAGAACATAGAACAGTACAGCACAGTACAGGCCCTTCAGCCCACGATGTTGTGCCAACCTATTATCCTACTAAGATCAATCTACCCTGCATTCCCTACATTTTACTATCCTCCATGTGCCTATCCAAGAATCGCTTAAAAGTCTCTAATGTATCTGACCCCACTAACACTGCCGGCAACGCATTCCACACGCCCACCACTCTGTAAAGAGCCTACCTCTGACATCTTCCCTATACTTTCCTCCAATCACTTTAAAATTATGCCCCCTCATATAATCGTTTCCGCCCTGGGAAAAAGTCTCTGACTATCCACTCTATCTATGCCTCTCAACATCTTGTAAACCTCTATCAAGTCATTCTTCTTCACTCCAATGAAAAAAGCCCTAGCTCCCTCAACGTTTCCTCACAAGACTTGCCCTCCAGTCCAGGCAGCATCCTGGTAAATCTCCTCTGCACCCTCTCTAAAGCTTCCACATCTTTCCTATAATGAGGTGACCAGAACTGAACGTAATATTCCAAGTGTGGTCTAACAAGAGTTTTATAGAGCTGCAGCATAACCTCACAGCTCTTAAACTCAATTCCCCTGCCAATGAAAGTCAACACACCCGACGCCTTCTTTACGACCCTATCTTGGGTCGCAACTTTGAGGGATCTATGGACGTGGACCTGAAGATCCCTCTGTTCCTCCACACTGCTGAGAATCCTGCCATTAACCCTGTAATCTGCATTCAAATTGAACATTCCAGAATGAATCACTTCACACTTTTCTGGGTTGAATTCCGTCTGACACTTATTTGCCCAGCTCTGTATCCTGTCAATGTCCTGTTGTAGGTTGCAACAGCCCTCCACGCTGTCCACAGCTCCACCAACCTTCGCGTCATCGGCAAACTTACTAACCCACCCTTCCACTTCCTTGTCCAAGTCATTTATAAAGATCACCATCCAAGTCATTTTATAAAGATCACATGTTACCTAAATGTTACCAAATTGTTACCTAAACTTAGAGATGTGATTGTGTCCTTGGTCAAAGTGGCCAAGTAATCTCCCCGACCCTTTCCTGATGCCTTGCTGTATCTGCACCATAGACTCCAGCTCGCAGCTAAAACCCCTGAAAGTGCAGACGCTCACTTCGCCTGTGGGTTGCCTGAGATTACTGCACTTTGCAAACTGCTTCAGAGGCAGGGCACCTCCTTCACTGCAATCTCTATCTGTTTTTTGTATAAAATTAATTAAATTCAATTTCACTATATCTGAACTGTCTTTTAACCCATACTTGATTAAAGCCCAATCTATCGTCTTAATTACTTGATTTGCCAGGATAGCGGCCATAACCTGGTTTAAGTGAACTCCATTCCTTTCCTTGATGAAATGCAGGATTAATTCTCTTTAAGTGCTTTGATATCAGTAGAGGGGAATCACTTTTCACCATCATCGTAAATTAGCTACCCTGTAAAGTTTGTTTGATCAAGGTGGGAGACCTTATAGTACTATGTAAAATGATAGTCCAATTGTTACTGGTTTGCAGAATGAATGATTGTGTTTTTGCTTGAAAATTTAAATATCAAACCTAAGTACCTGTAATCAATAATACTATCTGTATGGGTCTTGTTTGTCCTAGTCCATTGATTCAGAGGAGATCGTTGCCCCAGGCCAGCACCGAGCCTCCCTATCAGATTTGACTTGCATTGAAGATATTGAAGCTCTTACAGTACGTCAGCTAAAAGAAATACTAGCACGAAATTTTGTAAATTACAAAGGGTGTTGTGAAAAGTGGGAGCTGATGGAACGAGTGACAAGGCTATATAATGAACAAAAAGATCTTCAGAATCAGGGTAAGAGGATTTCTATATTGTTAGATAACTAGGATTGATAGTTCATTTTGTTGTTTGGTATATACCTTTTTTTCACCTAATTTCTTTTGACAGTTTGAGTACTAAACACAAGGGGGTAATAATTTGTATTAACCCCATAATAATCCCATAAACTTGTTCATAAGTAGGTACAGATTAATTTGGAGGAGATTGGCCACTTTGGGTATTCATTCTTCAGAAACATTTGAAAACTGGCTATGCTGTAGTCTGTTATCTGTTATAGCTTTACTTGAAGAATGCTGTTCCCAAGGAAGAAATGCAGATGGTAGAAATTTGATTATTTTCTAGATTTACACCCAACATTTGTCTCATATTGTCCTTGAATTTGATACAAACTGAAAGGATCCTTGATTCTGATGATTGGGTGCCTTAATATAAACTGTGGAAAAATATTACCACTGTCCCAGTGTAAGCTTTCCATTTGTAACAGAAGCAAGCCTGTGGTCTGCATTGTTGATATTGATCGGTGTTGAAATTTTGACAGTTTTGTTCTGGTTTGAAGCTGGGCAAACTCTTAACTTGAACATCTGTAGCCATTAGAGAGTTAAGTTGGCTGACTTCAAACTCAGAACCTTGAGGTGAAAATTTGGGTAAAATATTGGTGTTCTTGCAGTTTTGTTTGTACCCCTCTATTTTAGCCGGAGCTAATCCATGGAATGCGATGTTCGATTAACAAACCAAAATTATGGTGACAGACTGAGATCAGTGACAAGACAGCACTCTCTGCTTCCATGCCTTGACATAGGCAGATAATTTGTTAATGTTGAGACTGTGGGTGAAAACTATAAATAGAAAGCATTTCATTCCTCAAGTCTGACATTCTCACTTTGACAATAAAAGTTCATATTTTCATTCTCAGTTTCAACCAATTTGCTGTTATATAGTTGCAGTCTGCACCATAATGATGGCATTTTCCGATAACTAACTGTGTTCTTTTCTTTGTTTAGGTGGGAATGAATCATCAGGTGTCGATGAGAATCTCTGTAAAATTTGCATGGACTCTCCAATTGACTGTGTGCTGCTGGAGTGTGGCCATATGGTCACATGTACCAAGTGTGGGAAGCGCATGAGTGAGTGCCCCATCTGCAGGCAGTTTGTTATCCGGGCTGTACATGTCTTCAAGTCTTGAATATTCGCAACTACTGTGAAACCGTATCAGATCAATTGGAGACGTGCATTTTCACAACCTAGACCCAGGCTGCTGATTTAAACATATCTGGCTGCTGTTATTACTAGTAAGTCAGCTAATGCATTTTGACCGCCCTGAATGAAAACACTATTTAATTATGTAGAAAATATTTATCATAAAGTATATATCATTTACCTTGGGCAGGTTGAAAGGGTATCTTTCCAACTAACCTTCTCCTACTCTAGAAAGTAAGGTAAGAATGAATGAGAGAAATATGATTGGAAAGAGAAGTACAAGAAAAAGCCAAAACAGAAAGAAGTTAAGCTAGAATCACTGATCTTGTGGCACTCCATGGAACAGGTATGGTTGAGTTGTTGTAGCTTTTGGCTTATTTTGAAAATTGCAGGTGAATTGACAGAACACAAGAACAGGCTGGAAGCAGCAGAGAGAAAAGGAAATAATTAAATATAAGCTAGCCTCTATTTGGGATATTTGGTACATTTTGAAGCAGTATATGCTTATGTTTTGGTCATTCAAAGTTTATCAGAATGGCTGCAGGCACCTTTAGAAATAGTGCAATTTGTTCTTTTTTGTAGTTCCTTGGGATGGGTTGGTCATTAAATTATACAGTGGAAACTTACATGAGAAATTAAAGTAGAAGAAATGGAGCTGCACTAAAATAAGCAAGTATTGGTACATGGTCATCATGCTAATTGTCAAAATGCCAGTGGAACAAATGAAGATCCTTCAATTCCAGCTGAAACCTAGCTCCGTTCCCTGTTTGTTTAGCTCAATTTTTACACCTAAAACCAGTGAAGTGATTTAGATACGTAGAAATGTGAGGTTTTTTCAAGTGTATTTGATTGCTATTGGACAAAACCTTGACCAGCAGTTAAATATACATTGGGTTGATAAAATGCACCATCTTCATCTTATTGCGCCCCAAACCTTTTAAATTAAACATGAATCCCCGTATTTTTTACACTTCAGTGCTATCTGAATTTTCCTGTGCTCCATAGACCGAATGTATATATTTAAAGATCAGTACATGTGCACAATTTAAAAACATATGTTTATTATTTAAATCCAGCCTATTGATCTTTAATGTTGCATTGATGCCTACAGTGCAATAATGGCATGTAAATGTTTACAAGATTATAAAACAGGTTAAAGTTCAAACAATGTAACATTGTACATTCTGTTAAAATGTTTAAGTGATTTCTGCCTGCTGACCATCCAAATTGAACGGTTGGTCTCAGTGCCCTCGTACTTTGTCAAATCTATTTTGTTTCTTTGTAGGTATTGATTTTCCATTTTTGACAGTACCAGCATTGTACCCTGTAAAATTTAATTTCTCATTTCCTTCTCTTCGCCCTCAAAACCAAACAAAACCATGATACCAAATGAACTTATTATGAAAGTGTCTTTTATTAAGGAATATTCAAATCTGTTGTGCCTTGTAGTTGTTAACTTGTATAGTGCTTTACTTGCCAATTAAGTTTTCAATATGTAAACATTTTGGTATATTGATGTTGGGATTCTAATCAATTTGATTCTAATCAATCTGTCAGTCATTTGACCTGTTTATTATACTGTACCTGCGGTTATTCTAATAATGGAGAATTACAGCTTTTGTCCACTTGCAGAGACATGTTTACAGATTCTCACTTTTTCTCAGGATTGAAGGCCTGTTTCCTGCCACAGTTTTCTTCAACTGCATTCTTCCCATTTTAATCCTGTTCTCTAGCATAGGGTTTATTTAACTTGCAAACCAATTGTGCATATATTTGAAATGGTGCTCCTTGTAGCTTTAAGGTAGTAACTTGTGGGAATTATGAAAACCAATGTCTCAGTTGTTGCGTTTACATTAATGCAAATATTTGAGAAGCCTTAATGTTCCTGGACCAGAACATTATAAAATGTGATTTGTGAATTGTACCTTAATCTGCCAGGCCCTTTCATCCTGTAAACTTCAAGATCCTGGATAAAGGTACATTAGCACCAACCACCTTTCCACAAATGCCAAAAAAAGATGAGCGAATAACATAGGTCTCCAACTGAGTCCAAGAAAAGCTCCTGTCAGAGGTTTTCTACATGGATTTCCTTGTGTTATACAGATATTAAAAACCATATAAATCCCTCACGTAATCCCTTTTTGTGTTGCATCCATTTTGGCAGCAGTGGTATATTTTCATGGGAAGAATTACGTCAAGTAGTCATCCTCTAGTTCATAAATGCCACCTTGAACCTGCCTGAAATCAGGAAATGCTGTACTGTAGGAATGCTGTACTGTTTCACACTTTGTTTTAGTTCTTCTTTTTGCCTCTGTCCACCCTGAAACATCAGGTGAATGCTATTGAAGTGTGTGGATGTATGGTATGCCTAATCTGAGGGGCAGGAGTTTGCTGTTGAGTAAAGCTCTTCATAGATTGCCCTTTGTATATGCACACAAACCAACACTTTCCTTCCTCTCCTGTATCTTGTTGAAGCCTAAATGGTGCGGCCGAGAGGTTAGATTGAAGTGGTGGTGCTGGATGTGTTTAACACACAGAGTAGATTGCATGCAAAGACTTCATTATGAGATAATGGAGGAACAGGGGAGAGAGGGATGAATTTCTTCAACCGTTCTCCTGCTCTTTCACTATAACTAGCCAGGGAACCTCCCACCTTTTGCCAAAGTTATACTGGGTGGAAGCCCCAAGGAGATTAGCCTTCAATTTATTTAAATATCTTGGAATCGTACTTATGTTAAAGTAATGAATGTAAAGGCTGGACTTTGGGGGGCAAAAAAAGACATTCCTACAGAGTTCGCTGAGGTTTCTACAACTATAGTGAACTGCAGTGTTTACAGCTTTACCGGGTGTTCTATTTGATGCCTACAAGCATATCTTAAAACAAATGCAATATCTTTTGCTGTCTTATGGCAAAATGGCTTCTGCATAAAGCACTGTGATATGGACAATCTACTGAAAGTTCAATTCCACTATTGTCTTTCTAAATGAGATTTTCTATTATATGGATCTCTAATTGGAAGTTACAAACCAAAAACATGTTCTTTTTATAAAAGCCAGCTACTGTGGGGATGCTGGAAATCTGAAATAAAACAAAATGCTGGAGAAACTCAGCAGATCTTGCTGCATCTGTGGAGAGAGAAACAGTTAATGTTTCAAGTCCAATGTGACTTCTTAAGAACTCATTCCAATGCATTTTTATTTGTTTCCTCTTTCATGAACATTCATCTTATCTTGAGTGTTTCTGCACTGAGATCTTTACCACACTCCAGTTTCTCTGGTGTTTTGCAAATCGGCACATAATTGTACAAGAATTGTGTTTGAAGAATAAGTATCTTCATGGCAAAATGAACTTACCCTTTCCCCTCCAACTCAGTATGTGCTGTGTTTCTGTTTCATCGTGTTCTCTTAATAGTGTTATTTATTTATTTTAATTGATTCAGACTCCGGTAGTTTACAGACCTTATAAAGTGGACAGACTGTTTGGGAGATTTGGCGGATTATTCCTAATACAAAACTAACATCCTGTGTAATCTAAAAGATACAAAAATCACAATGTTGTCTGAAGTGCCTTAGATATTGTTTTAAATCTTTTTTGATGTGGAGGTGCTGGTGTTGGACTGGGAGGGACAAAGTCAGAAGTCACATGACACCAAGTTATAGTCCAACAGGTTTATTTGAAATCACAAGCTTTTGGAGCTGCTCCTTTGTCAGGTAAATCTTGATTAAGTTGAGGGGGTGGAAAGGGTATCTTTTTACACAGAATGGAAATAAAAGGCAAGCATGATTTTTTGGTTCTGTAGGCCTAGCTGCTTTAAAGGGAAATGATAATAGTCCTTTAAAAGGAAAGTAAAAGTTATTGGTCTATACAAGCTCCCATTTTAAAGATGTCAGGGCCAGTTTTCTTCACTTCGATTTGAGCAGTGACATTGCCAACACAGTGTGTCTGCTGAGAGGCTCCTAAACAGCCAAAACTTCGTTGGCAAAACAACGTGGAAATCATGTGATAAGTTCACCAGCTGATGATGTTGTGCCCTGGTAATTTTGAAATTGGCATCCGTCCAACCCACAATTTTGTTAAGTTATTCTGATTGTAGCCGTCAGAACAGCTGAGCAGTGAGGGAGTTCTGGGGGAAAAGAAATCGGGAAATCCTAGAATGACTCGGCAGATCAGTGAAGAATCAGTTACCATTACAGGTCAATGACATTGTATCAGCTATATGTTGATTTAAAATAAAGCTACTTTCCCTAAAAGTCCCCTTAAAAACATGTTCAAAGTATTCTTTTTATGCATAAAATGACACAATATTATGCTCAATTTGTACCACCCCATTATCACGTATTGGCGTTTGTATCCTGAGGTTATCCAACCATTGTCCCATGTTATTTTTTGGACTATTGAGAGACAATACCTTCATTTCTAACCATTTATTACTTGAATTGACTAAAATGTATAAATGAAGGAAGATTTCAGCAAAAGGCTAATGGTTGCTATACATGACTTTGAGCTGAGAAAGTGAAAGCTGTTATCACTTGTTTTACTACATCCTTCATTGCTACTAAACCCAGATCTACGAAGTTTGCCCATGACGGACATGCCCAATGCTCAGTCAACAGTGTAGTGGAAATGAAAGCGTTCTAGATTAAGTAACCTGTTACATTAGTGGCAAATTATACATGGGCTGTGATTGGTTTTGAAACACGTGAAGAGGTAATCAGCTATCAAACTAATTTCATAATGTTAATTTTTTTCCACTAGAAATTAATACTTAAAGTATTTTCATATCCAAATACTTTAATGCCTCACATTTGAACAAAACGTAAAATCAATGTATTATCAGTAAGGCTGCATTTGAAACAGAGATGGAATGGACGTGTTAACCCTAAGTCAATAGAATAACTTGTTTATTGTGCAGTTAAAATCAGCTGGCTATTTTTAGTGATTTAATTATGGTGTAACAGCACTGGAAACTACTTTGTCTGAGAACTTGACCTTACTTTCTGCTTGTATTTCACGTTAGTACTTTCTGCATCAAAAGAAATTGGTGTGAATTTAATTAACAGAACTAATTTCTTGGAAATGGCAATCTAAATCAATCCCTTTGTGAAAGCTTTACTAACTGAAATACCATATTACGTTGTCCATTTGTCTTCCGAACTTTCAAGATCTACTCTAAGTTTAGCTTATTTTAAACTTGCCACTTTTCAACTCCTCTTCTATCTAGGTACTTGCTTTAAATCCTGTCTCTACTTTTTAAAATCAAGATTTATCTTAAAAACAAGATTAATTAACAGGATTTAACAATGTAACTTTAATTTGAAAGTCAGTGTGGGTAAATGAAAGGTGAAGACACTCATGAGGATGTAAATCCAGTTTCGGGCCAGACTAAGAGTAATATCTGAAATAAACTTTCAAATAAAAGTTTTCTCCTCCCTTCATTTTGTAATAAAACAAAAAATGTTTTGTTGCAAAACGATATTGGTGTGATTTTTAAAAAATCAAGTGGAGCTTGTTCTGTGAAGACTGGTAATTGAAAAATATTTACATGGGAAATACATATCTCGAGTTGAATATATAATTTCGAAAACATTAATGCATTGATAGATTTTTGTTTTCATTAAGTGTTATTTTAAACAATAAGTCTTGAATATAACAGCATTGAATGCAGTTTTTTTTTTGTAATGCAACTGACTGTGTCAGGAGCAGAATTAAGAATAAGGCATAAAATGCTTCAGTTCTTCTGTCATATGGGTAGCTTTTATTGAATTTATTTTCACTTTGTGGGGTTTATTGTTTCCTTTTTCTACTGCTTTGGGAAAGAAGTGAATAGTTCTGCAGAGACGTGGGTAGACTAAATGACAGATCCTCATTTATTGTGCTAACTTGTATGTTCCATGGACATGGTCTGATGGATTACAAAACTTATCATTTCTCTACACTGGAAAATATTGTCTAATCTGAATAAGCAGAAATTTTATATTGGTTATACGGAAAATTCCTGGAATCAGCTTCTTGGCTAATTTTAAAGTTTGTATAAACTTCCTTGTACACAGTTTTAGATTTCATTTTTCTGAATAATAAAAAGTATATTTGGAATTTTCGTGTATTGACTTTTTGAATGAATGAAGCTGTACGCAATGCATGTCATCTCATCATCTGAACTATGATCATGTTTGCATTCAGGTAGACAGGTTATAAACTTCAAATTTGAATGCAGAACACAGGGTTAATGGCAGGATTCTCAGCAGTGTGGAGGAACAGGGGGATCTTCGGATCCACGGCCATAGATCCCTCAAAGTTGCGACCCAAGTTGATAGGGTCGTAAAGAAGGCGTCGGGTGTGTTGACTTTCATTGGCAGGGGAATTGAGTTTAAGAGCTGTGAGGTTATGCTGCAGCTCTATAAAACTCTTGTTAGACCACACTTGGAATATTACGTTCAGTTCTGGTCACCTCATTATAGGAAAGATGTGGAAGCTTTAGAGAGGGTGCAGAGGAGATTTACCAGGATGCTGCCTGGACTGGAGGGCAAGTCTTGTGAGGAAAGGTTGAGGGAGCTAGGGCTTTTTTCATTGGAGCGAAGAAGGATGAGAGGTGACTTGATAGAGGTTTACAAGATGATGAGATGCATAGAGTGGATAGTCAGAGACTTTTTCTCAGGGTGGAAACGACTATACGAGGGGGCATAATTTTAAAGTGATTGGAGGAAAGTACAGGGGAAATGTCAAGGTAGGTTCTTTACACAGAGGGTGGTGGGCGTGTGGAATGCGCTGCCAGCAGTGTTAGTGGGGTCAGATACATTAGAGACTTTTAAGCAATTCTTGGATAGGCACATGGAGGATAGTAAAATGTAGGGAATGCAGGGTAGATTGATCTTAGTAGGATAATAGATCGGCACAACATCGTGGGCTGAAGGGCCTGTACTGTTCTATGTTCTATGTAGTCAGTCAGACAGCACTGAAACAGACCCTTCGCCCAAACTTCCATGCCAACCAGGTTTCCTAAACTGAACTAGTCCCATTTGCCTGCATTTGGCCCATATCCCTCTAAGCTTTTCCCATCCATGATGCTGTCCAAGTGTCTTTTAGATGGAACTGTACCTGCCTCTACCACTTCCACTGGATGTGCGTTCTGTATCTGCGCCACTGTCTGTGTGGGGGGTAAAAAATTGCTCCCCCCCTCCCCCCGGTCTCTCGTAAATGTTTGAGTAATCACAACCCAGCATGCCACATGCTGCTGACTGTGCTCAGCAGGGGACCTAGCAGCATGTGTGAGTACAATCCCACACCCCTAACCTACACCTTTAAATGCAGCTAGCTTGTCTTGAAGAGGAGCTGCATTCATTTGACAGAAGTTGCTGCAGGCTGTTTAAAAAAAACTCGGATAGAAAGAAAAGCACACAAATGATTAGCAGGGATAGGTCAGGGGGCTGGGTCTGGGTGAGGTGCTCTTCAGAGGGGTGGTGTGGACTCGATGGGCTGAATGGCCTCCTTCCACACTCTAAAAGATTCTATGATTCAGATGATTGCTGTCCCCCATCCATGGGCAAAAAACTAGCAGAGTTGGTATATGGCCCTCAGTCAGCCACTTAAGTGGCTCAATTGGCTACTAGCCAGATGGTTAATCTGCCACTTTTCTGGCACTGCCAGCAGGGTACATAAGCTTGTTGCCATGCAAGGCCAACTTCATGCCATGCTAACACAGACTGCTCCATCATGGCAGCCGGTAGCAGCGCTCAAAGGGCTAAGTAGGTGACTGCACTTGTCTGCAGTTTTAAGTCTAAATTTCTCATTTCTGAGATGTTGCCTGAAAAAAAAAAGCTAGTGGCTTTGTGGAGCGTAAATATGCAGCTCTCTAAAATAGCAGCATTTCTGCACCCACAACTGCCTTTGTGCCCATTTCTTGGCTGTTATCAGTCAGCTCACAACTCCATCTGCTGCTGACAAAGCTGAGGAAGTGCAGTTTAAACCAGGACGTTCAAGGGTTATAACAGCTCGAGGTTGTGGTCCAAAAGCATCAGCAGTTTTCCACAAGCCATTTAGTGCACATTTGGGGTAGTGATGCATAGGAATGCTCAGACAGACAATGGCACTTCCAGTGAGAATAGTAATTCATATTTCTTTCACCTCTTGAGATCAAGTAGTCAACATGACACAACTCCAGGAACAATTAGTGGCTGTTTTATCATTATCTTTCTTTAATTGCTTCTGCATGTAGAGTTATAGAGCATAGAAACAGATCCTTCGGTCCAATTCACCCACACTGACCAGATATCCCAATGTGACCCAGTCCCATTTTTCCAGCATTTGGCCTATATCCGTCAACCCTTCCTATTCATATATCCACGCAAATACCTTTTTTAAATGTTGTAATTGTTACACCTTCCACCACTACTTCTGGCAGCTCATTCCATACACACACCACCCACTGTGTGGAAAAAGTTACCCCTCAGGTCTTTCTGAAATCTTTGCTCTCTCACCTTAAACCTATGCCCTCTAGTTTTGGGATAGTAAGAACTGCCGATGCTGGAGGAACACAGCAGGCCAGGCAGCATCAGAGCAGCAGGAAAGCCTACTTTTCAGAGGGTCCCAACCCGAAACATCAGCTTTCCTGCTCCTCTGATGCTGCCTGGGCTGCTGTGTTCCTCCAGCTCCACACTGTGTTCCCTCTAGTTTTGGACTCCCCCCACCCTAGGTAAAAACCTTGGCTATTCACCCTATCCATGCCTCTTGTGATTTTATAAACCTCTATAAGGTCACCCCTCAGCCTCATTAATTATTATTATTATTATTTATTATTATGATGATGCAGTCTCTCAGGTGTTTTCTCCATATCCCTTAATTCCCTTACTAATAAAAGCAAATGTCTATCTCAGGTTCGAATATACTTAACGACCCAGTCTCTCTGTACCTGTCTGTGGTAAAGCATTTCACAGAATCAGTACACCCTACGAAGCAATTCTTCTTCAGCTCTGTCTTAAAGACCCTTGCTCTGAAATGATGCCCTCTTTTAGACTTTCCCACAAGGGGAGAACAACCTCTCAGCATCTACAATGTCAAGTCCTCTAAGAATCTTTTATGTTTCAATATGGTCGGCCTTAGTTGTTTTAACCTCCAGTGATCACAGGCCAAAGCTTCGTGACCTCTCCACATAAGAAAATCCATGCCTGCAACCAATCTCCTCTGGACTGCCTCCAATGCCTTTCTATTTTTCCTTCGATAATAGCAACAAAAATGTTCACAGTATTATAGCTGCAGTCTGTATAGTTTTAGCAAGACTTCCCTATTTTTATACTCCATCCCTTTGATATATACCTTCCCTATGTCCTGCTGAACTTGGATGCTAGTTTATGGTTCATGCATGAGAACACCCAAATCCTTTTGTACTGCAGTTTTCTGCATTTAAGTAATATTCAGCTCTTCTATTCTTCCTGCCAAAGATCCTCATATTTTCACACATTGTATGCCATTTGCAAAGTTTCTGTGCACTTACTAAACCTGTCTATATACTTCTACAATTTTTCTGTCTCATCTTCACCATCTATTTTGTGTTATCTGCAAACCTGAAAATAGTACATATACTTCCATCATTCAAGTCATTGATATATTTTGAAAGTAATTGTGGTGCAGCTCGGCTTCCTGTAACACACAGCTAGTTACAGATTGACATAGCAAAATGCCCTCCCCTGGCCTGCTGTCTTCCTCCAGTTCCACACTGTATTATCTCTGACTCCAGCATCGGCATTTCTTACTATCCCATTCTATTAGTTAATCCTATAACTATGCTAATGTACTACCCCCAGTAGCATAGGCTTTTATCTTAAGTTGCCTTATTGTAGTCCCTTATCAAAAGCTTTTGGAAATCCGAATATATTACATCCACTGCTTCCCCTTGCTAACTCTGCTTAATATCTTCTCAAAGAATTCTATTAAACTTGTCAGACATGAATTCCACTTCATGAAGCTATGCTGACTCTGCTTGACTAAATTATGCATTTCTAAATGCTCTGCTATTACAACCTTTATCGTGGATGTTAACACTTTCCCAATGTCAAATGTTAGCCAAGTGGCCAATATTTAGAAACAAACAAAAGACTCAGCAGGTCTGACAGAATCTGTGAAGAGAAATCAGAGTTAATGTTTCGAGTCAAGTAACCCTTCCTCAGAATTGCTAGTAGCTAGGAAAATGTTGGTTTATTTTGCAGAAGATAGGGTGGGAGGAGGGGATAAGGAATAAATGATAGGTGGGCATAGAGCTCAAAGAGACAGAAGAACAGTTGCAGTGATATAGGAGTGGATAACAACCTGGCCAGAAGGGTAGATCACTATTAATGAGGACTGTTAGTGGCTAACAGTGGGTTGTGTGTAATAGCAGACTATGTGATAACAAGGCCTGGTGTGTGGGGGTTGGGATAAGGATATGGGAGAGCTCAAGCCCTAAAGCTGATGAACTCAATATTGAGTCCAGAAGACTGCCGACTCCCTAACATGAAAATTGAGGTACTATTCTTCTAGCTTGTGGTGAACTTCACTGGAACACTGCAGCAAGCCTGAGACAGAGATATTGGCCGGGGAACAGGTTCGTGTGTTGAAGTGGCACTTACCATTCTCATTTCTGATTTACAGCATCTGCAGTTCTTGCGGTTTTTATGTGGCCAATGTTTAGCCTGTTTTCTTTCTGTCTCTCCTTTTGAATAAGGGTGTTACATAGAAGATTGGAAAACCACAAGGACTTTTACAGAATCTAGGGACTCTTGTAAGGTTATTACCAGTGCATTCACCATCTCTGTAGTGACTTCCTTCAAAATCCTAGGTTACAACCCATCAGGTCCAGGGGACTTTCCCAATCCATTCAAACCAACTCTCTCCCCATAATTACCCCTATTTCAGTTTACCATAGTTGTCTCTGACACAAGCTTCTCACCGAAAAAACTGAATGCTGAATTCTAAAATGTTACATCACTGTTACTCAGTGTACCTTTTCCTCCGAGATCATTTAATAAACCTGCCTCATTACAAATTACTAGATCAAACATAACCTGATCCCTGCTTAACATATTGTTTTTCAAAACTGTTCTGAAAATTTTATGAATTCTTCC